AATTGCGGTATTCTCTCCCAACTACATCAGTCGGTGCATCTGTGCATCTTGACACAGGTTAATTCAGTTCAAGACTCGTCCTATCTATAACATCGTATCTTTGTGAGGCGGGATTTTCTGCGGCTACAGTGACCAAAACAAAGCTACGGAGCAGCACTTTGTCATTTTCTCCGATTATGCCTAGATGGGAGCGGCTTGTTGTTTTATTTTTATGTTTTTTGCATTGATTTTTTGCCAGTGGTATCATTTTACTTGATCGTATTCCCAGCCCCCCGCCCAACAGCACCGCCCCACCCCCAGTGCTTAGAATACCCTAGGTGTTTGTACTGGACTAAATTCTTTAAAATGGGTAAAGGTCAAGGTAAATTCAGGGATAGTTTAAAATCTACGATTGGAAGTTTGTAGAAGCGCAGGATCCCACCAAAAATTAACACTTAAATAGATGAATTAAAAAATATGGGTTTGAGGGTTGCCTCAATTCCCAAAAGATAATAGAACTTAAGGATAAAATAACTAAAGAGTGCAAGGGAGTTAATAGAATTAAAAAAGATGGGTTGAGGAAAGAGTAAAGGGAAGATCATAAAGGGGATGAAAAGTGTATGTCAGATTGATCCAAGTAATTTAAAATACTTGCAGAAGTGGAAGGAAAGGTATGAAATAGATGGTGTGTGGAAGGTAGATCGATGAAGAAATGTTGTTACCCAGCTAGAAATAAGCACTAGTGTAAATAAATAAATAAATGAGCCCCAAATAGCGGGGTGTTGGTATAACACAGGCGCAGAGTAGATACGAAGTTTATATAAAAAATTCAATAAATAGATTTCATGTTATGTTTGTCCGTCTTTAAAGTTGTTTGTGCATCCAGAAGATAATGAAACCCCTTGTAGAGCGAGACAGCTTGAATCTGCAGGAACGGGGGATGGGGGGCGGTCAGTGGAGCAGCGACTGCAGCTGGCAGCCTTCCTCCACATTCTGCTTGGTCTCCAACAATATTAGGTTCGAAACAAAAAAAAACAAAAAACAAATAACCCGTCAGAAAACTACTTTAGTCATGCAAACTATGGTAGCGACTGAAAAAAATAGACCACCACCATATAATCCCTTAATCCCCCTAGGCAAATTGACCAATTCGTATGCAGACTTGGATGAACTGAGTAAATCAGATCTTCAATTATCTACAGACCAGACGCAGCCTAAAAGTTTTCCACAGGAGGGTGGATTATAGATATTTAAGGTCCATAAAATAAACAGGAGAAAACATAGATGAGTTCAAAATACTTTTTGAAAAATAAATAAAAAATGAGAGCTCAAGATACAAGGTGTTTGTTGCAAGTTGTGTTTCAGAAATACTGAAATCATCTGACCCTGCTCAGTGGAAGTATGTGGATACAGCTTCAAATCTAGCAGATGTAGCATCTATAGGGGTCAAAGTTGAGGCACTTTTGAAAGACAAACTCTGGTTAAGGGGACCTTCTTTTCTTTGCCAACCTGAAACAGACTGGCCTGTGAACCCTGAGCCTGTAAACCATATCTCCCAGGATGATCCACAGGTGAAGAAAAGTGCTGTTTTTAATGCTGTACAAGTTGAGGATTCTACCACTTACTTGATCCATCACTATTCCTCTTGGATACGGTTAAAGAAAGTTGTGGCATGGTGGCTGAAATACAAAGAATGGCTTTGGTCCTTCTTCAAGAAGAGGAAAGAGCTTACAGCCAATCAGAATGAAGTGAACATGCAGCAGCACAGAATGATGGAAAAGGAAATATGCGCGTTCAAACGCACAGCTATCCAAGGATGTCTTACAGTGGAGGACATTGATAAGGCTGAGATAGCCATTATCCAGTTTTGCCAGAGAAGAAAGCTTTCAGATGAGTTTTCAAGTCTGTAAAAAGGACAAAATGTAAAGAAAAGTAGCCACCTGTACAAGTTGTGTCCAAGGCTGGAAGATGGAGTCTTGCGTGTGGAAGATCGGCTCAGTAAAGAAGCCGGCCACACCCAGCGCTCTCTAACTAAACATGCAATTTTTTACATGAGGGAAAGGGGATTTTGTTTCAAAAAATAGTTTTAAACAAAAACAAAAACTTATATGGACTCACCCCAAACAGAATTAACAGCAGAAAGGACATGCTCCGTCGGGTCATAGTCACCCAGAAAAGTCCAGTGGTTTCAGAATACAAACTCAGTCCTGTTGCACTTTTTCCTTGTCTGGTCTGAACAGTTTCAGGAAGGAGGCTTTAAAACATTGGACAGAATCACACACACCAGCAAAGAGTCGTCCCACCCCTACGATGTGGGGTTACCTGAGGCTGGCGTGGGAGAAAACAACTAACCTGCCAGTTCGTGACTTCTTTAGAAGTCAGCCAATTACAGGTTCCCATCACACAGGCTGAAACACGGAGGATCCATAACAGCCGACAGCCAAATTCCACCGAGACCACATCAGCTTTTTATAACCAACACTCTGTGTTTTAATATGTTCCAGATAAAGACTCATTATGCAGGATAAAGACATTATTTTTCCACTGCTGTTCTAATCTTTCTGAGGCCCTAAAACAGACCATGAACTGCAACCTGACTGAATGATCAGGGCAGAAAGTGAAGGTGGTTTATAAAGCAGTCAAAAGGATTTAAGGGCCTTGAAATTTGAAAGCTGATTTACTTTATGACCTAAAACAGGGATCCCCAAAGTGGGTCCTGGAGGGCCGCTGGCCTGCAGGATTTAGAAGTTTCTCTGCTTTAGCACAGCTGATTCTTCTTCTTCTTGGATTTATTGGCACTTACTGGTATGGAGTGTAGTTAGTGATGGACTATCTACTAATAAACATATTTATAATTTCTAAGAAAAAAAATGACATACTTATTGTTCTACCCATCTAACTCATGCACACATTCACCATCTCTATAATCAAATTCTATGAAATAATTTAGTTTTCTTTAAAAATGGAATAATTATTTGTATATGTTTACTCTCCAAATTCTTCCTCAAAATATCTAATAAATGAATCTTTTCATTCAAACTCTCTCCTCGTAGATCTTCTCTCTCTTTCATGTTGATGACATTCCAGTATAAAATGTTCTATTGTTTCATATTTTCCACAGTAATTA